TTAACATTTCAAGTGAATGTGAATCGACTGCACCTGTCCAGCTTCACAGTTATCTTTTTGCTATACATCTGTCACCTTTATAAATGTGAGTGCATTTATCTGCCTGTGCTTGTGCATGTTTGCACGTGTATGTGGGTACGAAAGAGAAAGAGAGAGAGAGAGAAAAAGGGTGGAATAAGAATTTACACAGGTGAAAACAGAGTAAGCTTTGAACAAACACCCACAGAAAACAGAATGGAAATCACAGGCATATATGTGCCCATGCCAAGCCTCTTTGCTGATGGCAGTTCAATCAACAGTTCTGAATACTGTAAACATTACTTTTCTCTCACTTCTAAGTCAAACAAACTTTTTCCTCTGCAACTGATACGCAGAAACATAAATATAAATTTTTTTGTGAACAGAAAATGTAGTCGGTCCATAATTGTCCACCATCCTCCCCAGTCTGGGAAGGGATGCAATTCTTGATTATTAAGAAAGCTCCAAACTATTATCAATTTGACAGAACTGCATCGTAAAGAAGCCAAGTGCAGTTGTAATTTCTTTTTATAGCCTTTTGGACTTGCACAAGAGTACAGATTTATTGCTGTGTGACTGGCCCGGAATACACAGACCTGGACAGATCTGAAAATGCATTCATAGCAAAATCCATCTATAGGTCATAACTGGACTCTCCACGCATAATAATAATAATAATCCTTACATTTGATATAGCGCTTTTCACGTCAGGAGGACGTCCCAAAGCGCTTCACAGAACACACTGTAAAGTGAATTGACTGTATATTTGTGGGCGAACGCGGCAGCCAATTGCGCACAGGAATGTCCCACAAACAGTCGTAGATTGAAAATGCCAATTTTATTATTGTTTTTGGTTTTGGAGGGATTATTATTAGGCTCTGTGTGGAGTAAGGAAACTTGCCCAAGGTTTCGCCCTCTGCCTGGAATTGAACTCAGGTCTTTCGCTTGCAAAGCGAGTGCTCTAACCACTGAGCTACAGGAGAATATTGAAACTGTTTCGGATCTTACCAAATCATAAATATAGATTATGCAGGAGAGCCTACGATTGGAGTAGATACCACCAGAAATTGCCAAGTGCTGTGTGAAAAAAATACTTCTACAACTGTCATAAAAAATTATCATTATTTGCAATTACTGGTGCACTAACCAATTGTCATTTCAAATATCCCTAAGATATGAAGCCTAATTTCACCCTGTAGTATTCCCCCCAGAAGAAAATTATTCCCCTTAGTAAATCATGCTTCAATATCTTTTACGGTGTAAAACCTGGCCTCACAATGTACATTTGCATCCAGGAAGTGGAAGTTCACCTGGATTGCCCACTCGTTAGAAGTATCCATCCATCCTCCTGGAGGTAATGTCACCTACAACCTAATAACCTGCTGAAACTCACAAGGCTCACATGGGAATAATGGCCACTTTAGCCAGATCCAAAGGGTCACTGAATTTTTGGAGTTATCCTCCAGTTAAAAGGGAAAAAGAGTAATGGATGAGTCATCTAACACACTTCCTCTCACAGATAGGATGTTCCAAACCACACACTTCTTCGTGGCTACCCTTTTTTTAAAACCAATTTCTCCCTTTCATCTTTGAAGGCAGAGACTCTGTATCAGCTTTCACTGATCAGGGGAGAAGATCAGCTGATCACGTTTCAGGTCTCACACAACGACCACCTCTGCGTACTTTCCAGCAATGGTCAGCGGACAGCGGTCAGAAACCTAACCGAGGGGCATTGAGGCTAATTTTAGAGCTACAACAGCAGCTCCAGATGAGACCTAATTCTAGTAACTAATTCAGTAATGACAGGGAATTGAATCAGTACCCATCTGCTTTATATCCTCTCACAGCATACACTGTCATGTGGAGTGTCTGTATTATTTTTGAGAGCGAACAACAATTGTCCCACTTTTCTCTTAAAGATGCACTTTCCATTACAGTGTCCTCTACACCATCGCTTGCCTCACTGGGATGTGCAGCATCTCTTCTAACATTAGCCTTCACAAAGTCTCACTCAATACTTCCTCAATTAGCGGTAACAAACCAAGACAGAATCTCCAGGACTACCAACACACCCGAATCTCCCAGTTTCCTGCTTAAGGATTTCATTTTGCAGCCAACTGTACTTTGAACATCCAGGCATCTCCCATTCAAAACATTCTGATGACAGCACAAGTTGTTCCCTACCTGGAGTGGATTTTTTTTTAAAAAACATTCTGTGTGTTCCAAAATACTTTGTTGTATATGTGAAGATAAAACAGTCAACAATATAATGTAGAAACATACACTAGCATTATTATTGTATGCTCACAAAATACAAAGTAAACCACTTTACAGTATATGTTGGGAAGCACTTTGAAACATCTTGACGACATGATAGGCTCCATATAAAATGCCAAGATTATTATAAAGTATTATTAGATCCATAACTAAACAATAGAAGCTCCATACAGCACTACCACCCATCACATTTTTAAAATGCTAAGCCAAAAAAATTTAAGAGTGAATGCCAGATAAGCAAAACCATGTGACAGGTTGTGCTGGCTCCATGTCAACGTTCCCTGAGCAAACAACTACATGGTAATAAAATCAATTGCATATCATAATAATCTTACATTAAAGACGTTTGGAGGACATTTCATGGCGCTGTAAAATGTAATGACTGTTTCAATTTTTAAGTGAACGTGGCAGCCAAGTTTCACACTGCAATACCCCACAAACAGCCATGAAGCGAATGACCAATTTCATGTGTGGGGGGGATTGTTGGCTAAGAAACCAAGAGAAAGCACTTTCTCTTTTCGAATAGTGCTACAAGATCTTTAACGTCCACCTGATGAAGCAGACGGGTCCCCAAGTTGAACGTCTCATCCAAATGAATAGAATGAACAACGTAGCCATCTTTCAAATCACAGTTCAGAAAGATTACAAACACACAAGAATAGCAGCAAAGCTTCACACTATAGATCTTATGCACAGACCAGTACATTAGCTACCCAGACCAGAGTAATGTTCAATTATGTCACAATCTGGGTTCCCTTGGTAGTTACATGCATTGCCAGCCAGCACTTCAAACTAATCCCATTTTTATTCCCAAACCACATCAATTGACCCAGTGTGGAGAATAGTGGTTGGTGAGAAGAAAATGCAAAGTAGTTTAGTCGAGGAATTTGCATGACTTTGCAACCCAGAAGGTCAAAGCTCAAACGGCTTAGAAAGGGATAAAGGAACCTTGGAAATGGCATTGCTCCCTCGAAAGCACTATGCGGCATCTCCACTTTTTATACCGTATATTGTAAACTTTCTGTTTTTCCCACCAATCACAGGTCCACTATTATGTTCCCAGAAACAAGCAGCGCAGAGGCTAACAGTGGTCACAGCAAAGCGTTAACCATTACAGCGTCTCAAAAAAGTTTAACAAGAACTGACTCGGCATTGATTACCAGGAAATTCGGTTTCTGTGGTCAGAAAACAACTGCCAGTGAGTTGACTGGAAAATAAATTCACAAATTTGGAACACAAAGTAACTTACTCCTCCCAATTCTGGTTCAGGTATACATCACTTCCTGACAACACTATTTGCAGCAATCTGCCACACCTTGTTGTTTTACCAGCACATGCCAAACTGCATATAACTGCAAGTTCGAACCAATTTGTTTAAAAAAAACTCAACAAAATTAAGTCAACAAGATGCCAAGTTGCTGGCTGATTTTTTGTCTGTCTGGGTAACATGCCTAGAGCGACAGAAAGGTTAATCAGCGTTAACTCTGGTCATTGTGGACAGATGTATAAGTTTTAACAAACCTTTAAGTGTACCGACCATCCCGATCCCTTTCAATGCAGCACGTGTTGACGAGCATAAAAGTGGGTTTAACTGTTAAACCGACACAAATTACAAAAATACACGAAACGTTTAGGGGACTTTTCGACTTTGACACGGACAGCATCACATTAAAATGCAAGTATGGTGTTATTTATTGAGCCAAGCCTTTTTGAAACATATAAATATATTAGCGAGAGAAAAAGTTAGAACAAGGGCCTAAAGAAATCTCCATGACAATAAGAACATAAGAATTTGCTGGCGAAAAAAGACCCAAGGACCATCCAGTTTACCTTCCACTGTCCTGGCAGTCGCTTGACATGTTGTGTCCCAAACTATATACCGTATCCCCAGATATTATTTTCTAGAAATCTATCTCATTCATTCTTGAAACAAACGACACAATAAAAGAAGGGGTGGGTGGGGGTAGCAGAGTAGTTAACCAAATAACTCCTGTAGCTCAGCTACAGAGCACTCGCCTCGCAAGCGAGAGACCTGGGTTCGATTCCCGGGAGGTGAAACCTTGGACAAGTTTCCCGACTCCACACACCTGATAATAATCCCTCAAGAAACAAAACTATAATAAATGGGTCAATTCAATCCACGACTGTGTGTGGAACACTGCTGTGCGCAAGTGACTGCCACATTTCACCCACAAATATACAGTCAATTCACTTTACGGTGTATTCTGTGAAGCGCTTTGAGACGACGTAGTGAGTTCCTGTATGAAATGCCACGACTGTTATTATTATAACTCCAGACTGAGGTGGATAGACATTTGTCAGGTCAGGGGATCGAGGGACACCGGGCAGAGGCGGGTCATTGGGAGTGGAGGCACAGAACAGCCATGACCTTATAGAGACCGGAGGAACACGCTCGAGGGGCTGAATGGCCTCCTCCTGTTCCTGTTTCTAGAAGGGTTAAAGCTGTGCAGGGCCCCGACACACACACACACACACAGCCCCTCATGTCAGGGCTCGGTGATGGCTGGAGGTGGGCTAAGAGCAGACAGTTTGCAGTTGGGATGGAGCTCTCTGTCTGTCTGTCTGTGACTGACTGTCTGTGACTGTCTCTCTGTGACTGACTGAAAGCGCCTTCGCTCGTCGAAGGTTAACCGCGCAAAACCCGGACAGCCGTTCGCTAAAGCAGAGAGTAAATGCAGTAAAACCTGAGGCCGCAGCTTCCCGGGGAAGGTTCACACAGTAAAAGGGATGATGATGATGGCGGTTATTATATATATATGTATATGTGTGTACAGTTACTGTGTGTAACCGGGCAGTCAGTCACGGGGAAAGAAGCCCGGGATCTCTCTCAACCTAACTTGCTGCCTGGGCTTGGACTCCCGCCCACCTTACACTCCGCCATTGGTTTGTTTCCCGTTACCACCACCGCCTCGGACGTCACGATTGGTTGTCAGCCGCGTCCATCCACACCACTCGTCACTAACCCCGCCCCTTTGCCGCCGCCGCCGGTCTAATGCTACGCGTCAACCAAACTTGCTCCCTTTCCGCCCTCCCTGTGTCCCGTCCCGCCCCCAACCTGGGCCCGGTCTGGCTTCTCATTGGCCAGTCAGGCCCGGCCTCGGCTCCACTGCGAGGTCTGATTGGCTCAAGCAGCTATCGGTTATGTGACGTACAGCGCGGTGACGTCACCAGCTCCCCTCCTCTCGCTCTCACCTCTCGTCACTGCGGCTGCGCGCTCCCCCCCCCCCTCATTTTCCAAAATGGCGGCGCCCAGAGTGGGAAGTCACTGAGTCCTGAGGAAGGAGAGGAAACTAATTCAGCCCTCACCCCCCCTCACACATACCCTCACACACACCCTCATACACACCCACACACAGCCTCACACCCCCCTCACACATACCCTCACACACACCCTCACACATACCCACACACATACCCTCACACACACCCACAGCCTCACACATACCCTCACACACACCCACACACACCCCCTCACACACACCCTCACACACATACCCTCACACACACGCTCACACACACCCTCACACACACCCTCACACACACCCACATACACACCCCCACACACAGCCTCACACACACCCTCACACACAGCCTCACACACACACACACACACACACATACAGCCTCACACCCCCCCCTCACACATACCCTCACACACCCCTTCACACACTCACATATATATATATATATATCAGAGGCCGTTTGGAGGAATCATTGTTCACTTTTGTCCATTTATCTGCTCACTCCCTCCGGGCGGAGCCGCTCCGGTGGGGTCTGGAAGCCGATTCTGCACTCGGGGGAGAAAGGGATTGAGCGGCGCTCCTGACCCGAGGTGAGACCCCGCCTCAGGGCCGAGTGACCTGAAGCGACCCATCTGTGTGTGTGTCTGTGACTGTCTGTGTGTGTGTGTGTGTCTGTCTGTCTGTCTGTCTGTCTGTCTGTGTGTCTGTGACTCTGTGTGTGTGTGTCTGTGACTGTCTGTCTGTGTGTGTGTCTGTGACTGTCTGTCTGTGTCTCTGTGACTCTGTGTGTGTGTGTCTGTGACTCTCTGTCTGTCTGTGTGTGTGTCTGTGACTGTCTGTGTGTGTGTCTGTGACTGTGTGTGTGTGTGTCTGTGACTGTGTGTGTGTGTGTCTGTGTGTCTGTGACTCTGTGTGTGTGTGTCTGTGACTGTCTGTCTGTGTGTGTGTCTGTGACTGTGTGTGTGTCTGTGACTCTGTCTGTGACTCTCTGTCTGTGTGTGTGCCTGTGACTCTGTCTGTGACTCTCTGTCTGTCTGTGTTTGTGTCTGTGACTCTGTCTGTGACTCTCTGTCTGTGTGTGTGCCTGTGACTCTGTCTGTGACTCTCTGTCTGTGTGTGTGTCTGTGACTCTCTGTCGTTTGTCAGGGAGAAGCATTTCAGGACTGGAATAGGTTCGGTTGTACCTTTATTTAGTTATTAATTTCTCCTGTTGAGGGCAGTAGCTTTGCGCTGCCTTTACACTATGGGTTTGCTGGTGATTGACTGTTACACACTGACCTACTTTGAGGGACCCCACATGGCTAAAGTGGATGTGTCTGCCACATGTTCCCAATGGCTAAACAGGACATGTTCTTTTAAGCATCCCTTGAATGAGAAAGGAGGCCTTTTCTGCTTTAGGGTTCAGTATTTCCCTGAAGGATAAGAAAGTAAAGTTCTAATGCAAATAACCAAATTAAATGTAGTAAATTCTAATGCGTTACTTTCTCGTTTCCAGGTAAATGAAGGAAAATAAGGAGAATTCCACCCCAACTACAGCCCTGGCAAATGTGGACCTCAGGAAGCCATGCTGGTACTGGGACAAGAAGGACCTTGCGCACACTCCTTCACAGTTAGAGGGGCTTGATCCAGCAACCGAGGCCCGCTACCGCCGGGAGGGCGCCAGGTTCATCTTTGATGTGGGAACACGATTAGGATTGTATCCTTTAAACGTCTGTCTTCTGAGTGTTCACTTATTGCTTAGAGATGCACAGCTTTGTTTATAGCTGATAAACAGTTATTGTTTATCATCTTTAACTAACTCTACAGACATTATGACACACTGGCCACAGGAATCATCTACTTCCATCGCTTTTATATGTTTCATTCCTTCAAACAGTTCCCAAGATACGTAAGTATTGTACAATTGTTACCAATGGCTCAGTGGGCAAATAACCTCAATAAATCTATTGAAGGAGACCCTCCAGATTTATTTATATGTACATGTGCCAGCCATTGTCTGACTGAAGAAATACTGAAGAAATAGCTCTGTTTTCATTGATAATTTATATTGAAACTTTATCATATAACTCATTTTATAGAACACTGGAGTCACATTGAATATCTGACTTAGTATTAGTAAGTCAACTATGGTACCTTGTATTCAGATTTATCACAAAAGATGTGTTCTGATTTCTCTTTCTTGACTTGTTTCATGTGTCTTGCAGGTGACAGGCGCTTGCTGCCTGTTTCTGGCAGGAAAAGTAGAAGAAACCCCCAAAAAGTGTAAAGACATCATCAAAACTGCTCGAAGTTTACTGAACGACGTACAGTTTGCGCAGTTTGGAGATGATCCGAAGGTTAGATGATTTTCGTTGTTGTCTTGTCTATAGCCTGCCTTGGCGTTATCAGGGAGATGTTTACTTTTACTCTGTTGTCACTGATTGAATGAGACCTTGTGTTAGTGGAGCTCTGTACTACGTGTTATCTTGTGTTACTGGAGCTCTACACTACCTCTACACTAAACAAAACTTCAGTTGGTAACTCTACTCCAGGCAGTGAATAGTTCTCTTACCTCCATCACCTCTTGTTTTGGGCACAACCAAAACTACATAATTCATGTGGATCTCGAGTCTGTACAATTCTGCATGATCATAAATCTACTATTGAGGTCATGCTCCACACTCTTGCCGCTGGAGGGAGCCTGTGAGTGACCTGGTGAGACATGTTCACTTCAGTTTATTATTACAGTGAAATTCTGTCAATTGAATACTCAATTTGACAGCAAAAGTTATTCACTAATCCAAACTATTCATATAACCAGACCAAACATCAGAGAAGATTCTTCTCCTGGAGCTCTCAATTCTATTCATTCGACCAAACTATTAAGTTAATCTGATACTCATTAAACCAAATTTCACTGTACTCTTCACTTCAGGAAATGGCTGATAATAATTTAATTCAGTCAGCCGACAGCCAGCAGAGAGGTGAGCTGGGCTGGATTTGATGTATAATTCATTGTATTATTACACTGCTGGATTGAAAGGAATGGGGTGACTTGTGTTGTTTTTTTTCTCTCTCTGAATTAGGAAGAAGTCATGGTGCTGGAGAGGATATTGTTGCAGACAATTAAGTTTGATTTGCAGGTTGAACATCCTTATCAATTCCTGCTCAAGTATGCCAAACAACTCAAAGGTACTGAACAAAGTGGTTAGGCAAAGGCTTGCACTCGGAGATTAGCAGCGCTGGCCTTGCATGATGATGTCCCACACACCACAAACTGGAGCCTTGAGCTTCTTGCTTGTTAAATTGAAACTGGACCTATTCTGATGGCTTGGGTCTAAAGCATTGGCTTAGAGCCCTGCAATGCCAAGTACGTCAAATGTTGTCTTTGTCATTGAAACAATTGTAAGCGAGTGAATACAAGGCGAAGAGTGATGTAACCGGGCTTAACACTCAGCCAAAAAATCACGAGGGGAGGGGAGGTGAATGGATACCTGACCCGTTCGGGTAACTTTTAAGTAAAATGGGTACCTTTCATAGTGCGATTGTATTCTGTCTTGTGCTGGAAGTGGATGTGTTGCTGATTCTCTTTGCTTATGCTCTTGCTGATGCTCGGCGTTTTTACACTGATGAATGATAACATTTGCACTAATTTGCGACAATATGTAAAAATTATTTGCAGCTGATTTGTGTGTGTTTTTTTTAAACTTGCGGTTGTGTATCATTTAGATGGTAAGTACCCAGCCTTCTCTAATTTAACTGTTCGAGCGTGCATGTAACTGGGCTTACTCTGGCTGCCAGTGGTCGCATGTGCTATTCCAGCTGTTACCGTCTTGATTGTGTCACCGCCCAATGTATACTAAGTCTCGTGATCTAACTTTTGTTTTCCCTTATTTTTAGGTTTTGAACTTATCGGTTACACATAATGTTAGTTCAATTTTCTCTCTCTCTAGGTGACAAAAACAAACTTCAGAAGCTAGTGCAAATGGCCTGGACCTTTGTGAATGACAGGTAAACAGTCCAGCTATTAATCAAGATCACTGAAATGATTCCGCGGCTGGGGTTTGAAAGGGAAGTGTTATTTATCAGTTGTAACCTCCTGATGACTCGATCCTGGCTTAATTTGTCACAATCACATAACAACAACAATAACTTGGATTTATATAGCGCCCTCCACTCCGGACGGCGTCTCAGAGCACTTTACAGTAACAGATCCAGGGACTGAGCCAGGGGGAGGGGGGATGAAGGTGACCAAAGGCACAGTCGACAAGAAAGGTCTTCAGCAGAAATCTGAAAATGGGAAGGGAGGGAGCGAGCCAAAGGGAGTGAGGAAGGCAGTTCTAGAGCCTCGGGGCAGAGTGGCTGAAGTCACGGCCGCCGAGGGTGGAGCGGAGGACTCGGGGGACGAGGAGGAGACCAGAAACGGAGGAACGAAGGCAACGGGTACTGTTTTGAGGAGAGAGGTTAGAGAGGTTGGGGGGTGCAGAGGAATGCAGGGACTTGAAAACAAGGGTGAGGATCTTGAAATCGATCCTCTCTGGGACAGGCAGCCAGTGCAGTCGGGCAAGGACTGGGGTGATCGGGGAACGGAGTCTCGTGCGGGACATAAGTCATCGTTGCTGTCAATATCCCTCCCGTATTTATTTGTGTTTTTATGCATGGGCACAACTTGCCACTCCGGATAAATCATCACTGAGCCCTTTTCCCTGGGAGTGACGAGTGTCAGGAGGTCACTGTATTTGCTAGTATCTTTAGCTGCTTGCTGTCCCTGTATTGAATGTGTTCTCTCTCTCTCTGACAGCCTGTGCACCATGCTGTGCCTGCAGTGGGAGCCCGAGATCATCGCCGTGGCTGTCATGTACCTCGCTGGCAGATTGTGTAAATTTGAAATCCAGGAATGGTCAGCAAAGCCCATTTACAGGAGGTGGTGGGAGCAGTTTGTGCAGGATGTCCCCGTAGAATTACTGGAAGGTACAGGAAGTGACAACAGTGTACACATCACATCAACGGCAGAAATTGTTGTAAACCTGAATATGTTTCACTTATTAATTACAGTATTCTGATCCCACAGACCAATATTTTGGGATGCAAGAAATGTATTTTTTTAAAAATTGACCATTAATAAGAAATTATGAATGTAAACCAAGCTGTTAACTGATCCAAGGAGTCCTGTAGCTCAGTGGTTAGAGCACTCGCTTTGCAAGTGAGAGACCTGAGTTCAATTCCAGGCAGAGGGCGAAACCTCGGACAAGTTTCCTTACTCCACACAGAGCCTAATAATAATCCCTCCAAAAAAACAAAACAATAATAAATTGGTCATTTTCAATCTACGACTGTTTGTGGGACATTGATGTGCGCAATTGGCTGCCGCGTTCGCCCACAAATATACAGTCAATTCACTTTACAGTATATTCTGTGAAGCGCTTTGAGACGTCGAGAAGACGTGAAAAGTGCTATATCAAATGCAAGGATTATTATTAAGCCAGATCATAACTTAGGTCAATGCTGTATACGTTACTGTTTTTCATTGTAATCCTCTCTGTAAATCCTGTACAGTGTTGAAAGCTAAGGTTTAAATCGAGTGAGTGGTTTGAGGTTGATCTCACTACTGCTCGATGGAGCAACTGCAGAGGGAACCGGTGGGAGTTCCCAATCCACCTCAGTCAGCACCACGATAAGGATGTTAAAGATTAACGTCTTTCAGTTGTCACGTCTTATACCACAGGAGAGAAATCTCAGCAGCTTTTGCATTTGTAATAACACAAGTGTCATGTTTCGCAGTTCATTACCTTTGCAAAAATCTTAATGGTTGATGGCATTTGTTGCTGAGCTGACACAGAAATGTGAGTGGGGAAAAGTGGTGCTGAGCATCCAAGCAGATCTGTAGTCCCCTCTCCCCAAACTCCTTTTCTTGTCTGTGGTGTTTTGTCTTAAGTTGCTGAGATGTTGCTGCTGATGTGGTTGGGTGTAATTGCTAATGATGTTGTTTGGTTGGCAGATATCTGTCACCAGATCCTCGACCTTTACTCTCAGGGGCAGCAGCAGATGCCACAGACTCCGCAGCAGCAGCAGCTGGCAGCCATCCCCAGCCTGGAGCCACTGCCCCCGCCCCAGGTCCAACAGGCCAAGAAGCTCTCTCCTCAGTCCACGCCTCCTCGGCAGATGAAACGAGTTGCGGTGAGTTAGAATCAGCCCAGAGGGAAGTCATTCGGCCTATCGCGTCTGCCTGCACCGGCCCTTAGAGCAAACCGTGCATCCAATCTCACTGCCCTTCACTAACGCCAGACCCCTTCACACCTTCATGTTTCCTGTACCAAAGTATGTGGAGGGGAGTTGAACCCATTTGACTCTCGCTCACAATGATAATGTGGACCTGCCTTTCTTAATGAATGGGTGTTCCTGTAAACATACAAACAGTAGGGTATCGACAATCAATTCTTCCCTTTGCCCATTCATCGCAGGGTTGTTTGCAAGACAAATCCTGAATTGTTATCAATGTGTTTTTTGTGGCACATTACATCATACCTTTCCTTGTGTTTCCTTTTGTTAGGCTACTTCCCCAAAGGAGGACGGCAAGATACTAGGTGAGGGTTTTTTTATATATCAAAATTGTTTGGGTTTTTTTTAAAAACAAAAACTAGGCAATATAATTAAACCTTATTCTTTGGTATTTTGTCTCAGTTGGAATCCCTTTAACCAAAGCATTGTTTGGATAAATAATGTCTTGAAATGTTCTGCTGTTTTTNGACTGAGATTTCTTAAATAAACCTGCCACACTGTTGGGCAAGCTGTGTTTCCTCACCCAGAAGGTACTTCATTTATCTTGGAAACTCTTAAGTGCCTGTGTTTACAAAGTGTTTGTGTATGAGGTTTCTATTTATATCTGTCCAAAAAGCATTTCCCTGGAAGCCTGTGTTGGTTTGCTGTTGATGTTTGGTGTGCAGGTAGTCAGGGAGGAGTTATTCAGAGCTGTTAAGACTCAGTAACGGCCAGGGTGGAAATTGTGGCAGAACTGGAAAGCAGGATTTGGAAGGTTGCCATCTCCTACGATGTACAGGGTACGGCAGCCTTAGTGACCAGCCTAAAGCTCTGAATGGGTTTGCCGCCCTGTGGTAAGATAAGGCCTCCCATTCCGCAGGGTGTTTTTATCACAGGCAATAACTGGGGATATTATTCCGTCAGGAAGAGGACTATGTTATCAACTTAGCCTTATAAATTCAAGATAAATGGTTTAGAATATCAGAAAACATCTCTTTGCACAGAGGGTTGTCGGGATGTTCAAAACATCGTCCCCAAAGGCAGGAGATGCAGAAATATTTGGGTATTTTAAAGGGAGCCAGATACTTGGGAATGAAGAGATATAGAGAAAAGGCAGATAAATGGGAGGAAAAGGAACTGCCATATATTCTAATAAAATAACGGAAATAGTTGAATTGTCTGTTTCATCCCCTCTGCTGACTTTCCTTTTATAATTTTATATTCTACATGTATACATTTCAAAGGTGAGTTATTGATTATGTTTCGCCCACAAAATACAGTCCATTCCTTTTGCAATATATTCTGTGAAGTACTTTGAGGCATCTCAACAATGTGATAAGACGCTATCAAATGCAGGCATGATTATTATCGATTATGTATTGCTCAACTTTTTCATTTCTCTGCAGAGCAACAACCTCCTAAAATTCCCAAACTGGAAACCCCTCACCCTTCATTACCAACCAGCCACCCTCCTCCTCTAGGTGAGTATTATATTTTTACCTTGGTTTAATGGAGATGTGGATAATCTGAAGGTTACCTCACTGGGTTAAGAAAGTCACCATATTAAGCCAGTTTGATTTTTTTTTAACCCACACTGCTCACATTGTAACACGACTCAAATCACTTTACTGTGACCGACTGTTAGGAATGTGTGAATATTTCGCTATAATCCTAGACAATTTGGAAACCTACACTTCCTTTCAGTATGGTGTGTGCGTGTTTAATTAACCATTGGGACCGGTGTCTGTCCTAAATTAGGGACAATTCCACTATTATTCCAAACACAGTTCCACCTGCTGGTTCTACATTCTGACCATGTCCCACTCCGTTTTCTTACAGAGCGTAAGCCAGCCCTGAGCACAAGCAGCAGCGGGGGAGAGAGCGAGCCAGTACCGTCAGTGAACTCCACCGAATTGGCAAAGGTTTCCATCCCACCACCTCTCCATCCTCCTACTGTCCACCCGCAGCCACAGATGCCCCAGCGACCTCCCCCCTCCGCTGCCTACATCATGGGAATGTCCACCACCAGCTCCTACATGTCGGGGGAAGGCTTCCAGAGTTTGCAATCTATGATGAAAACAGACGGTCCCTCCTATGGAAGCATACCATCTTACGGCCCGCCCAGCCACGTCCCCTACCACCCACACGTCTATCCCAACACGTCTGTACCCCCACCAACAAACTACCCACCCAACATTCCCCCTCCCACCCCCGGCTACCCACCCCCTGGCTACAATCCCACCTACCTGCCCCCGCCTCGCATCCCTCCCAGTCACAATGTGCCTCCACCACCCACACTGGGCATTCCACCAACTAACTATCCTCCCCCTACTGGGCCTCCAACCCAGCCCCCAGGACCACCCCCACCTCCCCCAGGGATGCCCCCCGTGGCTGGGATGGGCCGGGGAGGGTGGCTCAGATGATGGATGCTGTGTGTAGTCTCCGAGGTTACTTGCAGGTCCCACAATCGCACACAACTTGAATTTGCCTTACTTTCCATCACGGACTCCAACCTTTTATACCCAATATTTCCAGTTTTGTTGTGTGCCCCAGACTCCCACTCAGCACACTGTGTAATGTGAAGGTGACAATCCCAGAGCAGCTGAGAAGTGGCTCATTACCTGCAGACAACGGAGCTCAGTTCTGAATGTCAATCAAGTCTTGGATTTGTGTTCTGCTCCTCAGCACGAATATGTTGTGTGAAGGACTTTTCTCACACACACACACACACTCACTCTATCTTTCACCCCTCCCCACAATGTTTTACTTTTGTTTAAGATAGGGGCTTTATTTTGTGTGAAATGTAGTCGACAAGTTGAAGGTCACTTGTTTTATGCTGTTCTGGAGGAGAATGGTTTCGATTTTTTGACTCCTTTATCGAGGAGAAAGTCAATTTCTGTTTAATAAAAAAAAACAGACTGGGTCAAAACTAAGTGTTTGTAAATTGGGAATTTTAGTTTGGAGTTTAGTCTGTGTTTGTTTTTTGATCTCCAATACGGTTCCTGACCATTTTAGAGAAAAAAGAAATTGCGTTCAATGCAATTTTCTCCTCCTCAGGACACCTGTTGATATTGTTGAACTAAGATTATTTTTTTCCAAGCTGTGTCGATGCCTGAATGTAACAGGAGATTGTCCTGGGAGCTGGACTTTGACTGTAGTATATTATGTACATTTAGTGGCTGTTTACATTACAGCCCATTAAAGATGGTGATGGTATTTGGAACCTCTGTACAGGTCTGTTTATTTCGGGATTTCATTGACCAACAATCAGAGAAGACCCGAGAGAGGAAAAGGTCCTAAATCTCTCCCTTGCATATAGATCAGAATTTTCTGAACATTTTAGGACTCTTAACTCGCTATAGTTAATAATAATAATAATCCTTGCATTTGATATAACACCTTATCACTTCAACACGTCTCAAACCTCTTCAATCAATATGCCCTTAATCTCTGGAACTCACTGCCTCGCCCGTTTCTAAAATCAACCTTAAAACCTACCTATTTGACCGTGCCTGTTGTTACGTCCACCTTCACTCTTCCTCGGCATTCAATCCTGCCACTGTACAGCGCTGTAAGACATTATCCTATGTAGAATACAAGTTCAATTGTACTGAGCAGTGAAACAGCGAAATGCTAATTTTGCTGTATACGTCTGCAATACCTATTTATGCTGCAGGGGGTGCCCTGGTATGATCGTCGGAAGGACCCATCTAAATCTTGTCTAGATTTCATCCAATTTTCCTTGGATTGAGAAGGGGTTCCTCATCACCCTTCCCCTATCCGTCTCCCAAATTTGAGGTCACAAGTTACAAGGAATTGTTAGTGCCAGAAAGGGGGTAGCTTAGTGGTTAGAGCACTCGCCACACCAGCGAAAGGACTTGGCTGCAGGGCAAAGCGTTGGGCAAGTTTCCTTATTCCACAGTGCACCATTGATCTGCACCAAAGTGTGCTGCTGAGTGTCACGTACAGCCATAGGATTCCAAACCTCTCCTCTGGAAAGCAAAGCCACGGACAAAACAAACTAAAAGAAAACCATAAATTTTATTTTTGTTAACGTCAGCTAAGTAACTTTTCCTACTAGACTTTTACTTCATATACTAAAATATTCAAAGCTAAATTGTTATTTTTTTAAAAAAATTATATAATCTTTGAGGTGGTGGTTGTGGGTGTGTGGTTGTGTTTTAAATGCTGCCATTTCACGGACGGGATAAACACGCGCTCACTTCTATGTACATAAACAGCAGTAAAACGGAGCGGTGCGTAGTCATATTTTGTCTTTACACAGTAAAACAGCAGGTAAAAATACAACAGGAATCCTCGCCAGAGACACGTTCCACAGCGGAACTGCACAAAAAGTATTAACACAGTCGTTTGCCAACCTTAGCAAAAATAGTTCACTTCACAGTCACAGCTTTAGGCTACTTTGAACTGATGCAATTTCACGTGTGGTGGGGTTCAGCGACCCTGTCCTCCCCCCTCCCTCACACACACAAAATCATCTTAAGAACCATTACCCTGAAAAAAAATCAGCATTTTTCCACTTCAAAAAATATTCATCCCCACCCTTCCCTTGTGATTTAGTTCTATAGTTTTATTTTTAAAAAGGCAAATTGCTTGTGTGGGTGTCTATCTATGTGTGTTGCTGTTTTTTTGTTTGTAAATGTCACAGAAATACTTCCATGACCACAGATACAATCGGTACAAACTGCAAACTCTTGACCAAACATCAGAACAAAATAATAAGGATTTTTAACAACAACAAAAATGCAGAAATCCTTCTCGTGAACATTTTGGGATTTAAAAATAAAACAGCAATTACGTAGACTCTACGCATTTCAACTAAAAGTCACATTCATCTTTCTTTACTTGGAATACTGTCCTGGCTTCTTTTTCTGTACAATTGGGTCTTTAATTCTCATCAAGGACACCCTTTAATGGCTGTTTGTGAGATGTCGCTATGAGTAAATTAGCTGCCACATTCACCCATAAAAATACACTGTGGCTACACTTCAGGAATTAGTGTAATGTGAGAGACTGCAGATTAACCCAGGTGGAATTTCTACCACTTTGTATGTGTGAATGAGTGTGTGTCTATATATATAGATATATAAAAATCAATTGTTATCAACAAAATCCTGACCATCATTGTCACCCAAATTGAGAAACTTTTAGAGCAATTAAGACAACATCATCAGTGAATTATCAACAAAGCAATCCCACACCCACCTCCTTACCCCCCACCTCACCATAACATGATCGATCAAGTAGGGGTTGTGATAGTTTAGGGGGTAAAAAAAATTATACTTTTTTTTTAAAATTGGAAATGGGTGGTGTGGGGGGAGCAGGAGGAAAATCCCCTCCTGTCCCTCCCATCCAGTGTCTCTCTCCTCTTATCCAGTGTCGCGCTCCTTATATTACAGTGTACAAGCTGAAGGGGTTTGCACTCTCTCTAGAGAGGGATTACAAGAGTTTTTGCGAGCAGTAAAAGAGTAATATAATACACGGTTGCTGAAGTATAAACAAATCAAGATTCCAGTTAAGCTTTTCTCCATTGTGCAAACAAAATAAAAATATTCCTTCCATTTATCCCAGAGACTCAACTTCTAAAATAAAGTTTACTTTTGTTCTCGAGTCCTTTTTCCTCTTCCCTCCCCGTCGCCCTAGTGGAGCTTCACTGCTGATCCACATCGCAGCCCAGTTTTGTCCACCTCAACCTCTAGCCTTGGTTGTCAGTCGGGGTCAAGGGAACCCCTGGGGTCAAGCCTTTCCCCTTCTCTAACCAGGGAGCCGAGGTCAAACTAAAATAGCACATACCTGCACTTAACGTAACTCAGCACATAGCAGCCATCACTGCAATAAGAGTGAGCATCTTACGATCTCTACGGCAGATGTGGGGATAATAATAATCCCTGCATTTGATATAACACCTTCTCACGAGTACGTCGCTCATGCCTCACCACAAACCAACCACACTCACAAACCAGGATGAAAATAACTGATCGAGGGGAGTCCTCAGTGAGGGGAGTGATGTCCTCAGTGAGGGGAGTGTTGGGAACTATGTGGAACCCTTTCTCTGCCCTTGGTATAGGACGGCCCTGTGTTAGCTTGTTCTTTCAGTCTTTAAGAGTCAGGTTGCCGGGTTACATTGGCTGCTTCCTTTTGTCAGAAACATTTGTTGCCATGACAAGCAGCTTTTGTTTCTGCCTCTGTGGAGTCCCAGTCGGGGAGTGGTTCTAAAGGGAAACGGGGGGGGGTTAAAGGGTTCTTATATTGCTCAAGTGGAAGCCAAGGTCCGCGATGCCTTATAAAAACATCAACAGTCATGTGAGGAATGCAGGGTCCAGTCTTAGCTCTGCACAAAATCAGATGTATGAAGTGTTAACGGTTAATTAATGTTAATTGTAACATTAACCGATATCACACTATGACCAGAATTTGTCAGACGGGTTCCTTGCAACACTACTCAAATCCCAATCCACGCAAGGAATCCATCTTGTGAATGTTGCAAATTAGAAAACACCAGAGGAGGGAAGACCGGTGCCCTTCAAGGAAAACTCATTGTTTTAGAGCAAACTGCTTTTTTTAAAATCAATAATTTGGCTAACAACGTTTTGTTTGGTCGGCCAAGTGTTTTGACAAATGCGGAAAGCGGGCTCCGTGCTTAGAGTCTCCAAACCAGACTGAGAGTTCCACACATGCGGATGTACTGCTCATACGTGGAAGTTTTCCCCATGTCTGGAATGAGTCTTTCATCTTAACTCTTCTCGACACTGGAAATCCCTGGCATCAACTATCACCTGCTCCGACACTGCGAGCTGGATAACCCAAAGCTGCTCTCGTAACTGCCTTGAAATTAAACCCTGTGTTAATGTCGGACACAGACTGAGTCCACATCCGAGTCCACAAAAACAACAACTTGTATTTACATAGTGTCCCTCACGCAGGGTAAAGTCCCAAGAGCGTTTGAAATATAGGTGGCATGTCTAGCCAGGCCCTGATGTTAAGCTTCATTTAATTAATTACAGCGTTTGTTTGAAAGGAACTGAAATGCCTCTGGTGCTGTTGCCCATTCCATGTACTTAGTCAGAAACCACTGTGTCCAAAGGAGAATACAGTCCAGAACAGTCACCTCGATCATTCACGTGGGAAGGGAGAAAGGAAGGCAAGATCTGTCAGAAAAATCATCCAAAGATGTGCCTATTCAGATGACCCTCTGTATTGCCTCACTGTGCGGGTCACCTTAACCAGCCGCACACACCACACGCACACACACCACACGCACACACACACACACCACACGCGCACACACACACACACAGTCAGTGACATTTACATAGCATGGGCGGGTGCCGCAGAGTGGGGAATGTCCTGTCCACATTCAGCCACAAGGGGGCAGTGGCCGTTTGCACCCAGAAACAGTCGGTCATCAGGTGGAGTCGGTGGTCAGAAGTGATGTGTTGCTCAGGTGTAATTTTCGGGTGGGATCAGGTGGTGATGATTGCCGTGTGTCCTCCTGGTCTGGTGTCCGAGGCCGTGGCCTTCTGCCCCCGGCCAACACTATAACGGTCCCTTGAACTGATTACCTGAGAGGTGCTGCCTGATGGAGGGATTCGAACCAGCCGCGTCTCCCAGCTTACGCCAAACCACCTGGGAGGGCAAACAGACAGTGAAAAGAGGGGCAGGAATCTGGGAGAGGGGGAGCAAGGCACCACACCCCATCCCTGTACTCCAGGGTGTCAGTCAGTAGGTGGCGCTCTCGCCTCCAGCTCAGAAGGTTGTTGGGATCACGGGGGGGTTTGGGGGCTGAGCGTCCTCCGTTTCCGTGCTGCATCATGTACTAATTGGATGCAAGGCACCATACTAGGAGTCCTGGAGCTCAGTGATTAGAGCACTCGCCTGACGAGCGAGAGGATCAGGTTTGATTCCCAGGCGGGGCGAAACCTTAGGTAAGTTTCCTTACTCCACGCACACGTCTGTTTACCAGCAGTCAGTAGGAACCTGGTTGTTCGTCAATTGGCGGAGCGCTTTCTGGGGTAATAATCCGAGGTGACGGGGGGGCTCTGGAGTCGGTGGATGATTCAGCCTGGATGGGGGAGGTTGCTAAATGATACCGTGGCAACAAGATGTCCTTACGTTACACATTTCCCGGACGATGGCTTTCTCCTTCTCACTCAGATCATCCTGGTCATAGTCGTCTGGCAACTGCCTGTCCAGATTCTCGTGCACCTCCAGCACCTGAGAGATACAGGGACAGAGGAACTCACTGTCAGCACATCTGTGCTTGATTGATTTAATTGATATGATTGATTGGTTGATTGATTATGAATAATAATAATAATAATAATAATCCTTGTATTTGATACAGCACCTTATCACGTCGATGAGATGTCTCAAGTGCTTCACAGAATATACTGTAAAGTGTAGTGACTGTGTGTTTTGTGGGTGAAACGCGGCAGCCAATTGCGCACAGCAGTGTACCACAAAGAGTCATGGATTGAGTGACCAGATTTCTTTGATTGATCGATTTAAATGAGGTTTGAATTTGGGAGCTTTGTAACCAGTCGACCAGGCCAAGTCAATAAATAAAACAAGAAGACTATATTTTACCTTCATAGCGTGGACCACAGCCTCTGGCTTCTGGGATGACGGCAGGAATCCGGGCGTCACTGAGGGGCTGTGCTCTCCAGGCAGCAGCCGAGAACCTCCCTGCTCAGAGAAGCACAACAGCCAATGATGTCCATTTGTCTGTCTGAGTGCCATCAACAATACAATTTACCCTCGACTGAAAGATCTCCAACCCCACACACTCCCCAGCACAGTACTTTTTTGGGGGTCAGCGGGGTGTCTGACACATGCGGAAACCCATCACCTGCTTAAGAGTAACCAAACCAAACTGAGAATTCCCTGCCTCCCATCTACACATGGAAATCCCAGAGATAGATTGTTGGAATGAAATGCGCTCTCTCTCTCCAGCCAGAGGGAGCATCCTCCTTACCTAATTCCAAAAAGTATTAGGCGCAGCTTGGCAAGAGACAAGGCTTGATGTGCGGGGCCGGAACCCCTAACCTTCTGATTCAGGCGGGAGTGCTACTGACTGACTGAGCCAGGCTGCCACTTAATGTGCAGCTTCTCTTGAAAAGCTGATCAGGGGCGAATATAGCAAGCTAATCCTGTGTAAACACTGGCAAGCACTCGATCCTCTTGCAACAGCAGACACGATAGCAATAGAGCAAATGTTTGCCTGGCAACGATGGCAGGATTTCCTGCCTGTAAGTGCAAGCCTAAAAAAGGAGTCTAAAGTGGATTAATTTATTAACTGAAAGGCAGTTGACCTACTCTATAATAAACTCTGCTGAAGACCCTTTGAGCAGTGTATTCTAGGTCACCAGCGACTTCTATCAGGACACTAATGTGCAATAACATTTTCTTTAAGCAGGAAATTGCTTCAGCTGCTCGCGGTTTGATAATAAAAAGCGCGCTGGCTGTATGGTCTGAGGTGGCGTCCTTCAGATGAGACGTTAAGCCGAGCTGTGCCTGTTCAAGTGGCCATTGAAGTTAAAAGATGTTCGAAATTGATTTTTTTTGCCAGAATACATCCAACTGAACAGGCAGACAGGGAGCTCGGTTTAATGTCTCATCCGAAGTACGGCATCTCCGACAATGCATCGCTGCATTGGAGCGTCAGCTTAGACTGTGTAATTCCAATTCCAGACATGGGGGCTTGAATCACAAGGAGAGAGAGCGAGCGACTGAGCCAAGCAGACATACACTGAGCCGGGCTGACACACGCTGAGCCGGGCTGACACACGCTGAGCCGGGCTGACACACGCTGAGCCGGGCTGACACACCCTGAGCCGGGCTGACACACAGTGAACCAGGCTGACACACACTGAACCAGGCTGACACACACTGAACCAGGCTGACACACGCTGAGCCGGGCTGACACACGCTGAGCCGGGCTGACACACGCTGAGCCGGGCTGACACACGCTGAGCCGGGCTGACACACCCTGAGCCGGGCTGACACACGCTGAGCCGGGCTGACCCACACTGAGCCGGGCTGACACACACTGAGCCGGGCTGACACACCCTGAGCCGGGCTGACACACAGTGAACCAGGCTGACACACAGTGAACCAGGCTGACACACACTGAACCAGGCTGACACACACTGAACCGGGCTGACACACGCTGAGCCGGGCTGACACACGCTGAGCCGGGCTGACACACACTGAGCCGGGCTGACACACGCTGAGCCGGGCTGACCCACACTGAGCCGGGCTGTGTAATTCCAATTCCAGACATGGGGGCTTGAACCCACAACCTTGTGAATCACGAGGAGAGAGAGCGAGCGACTGAGCCAGGCTGACATACACTGAGCCGGGCTGACACACACTGACACACACTGAGCCGGGCTGACACACACTGACACACACTGAGCCGGGCTGACACACACTGAGCCGGGCTGATACATAAACAGATATTTATTTTTGTTCTGACTCACGTTCTGTACAGGCTCTTGGAAGGGAGGCAGCAGCGGAGACAAATGCTGAGGTTCCGGCTGGAACGGAGCGGAGAAGGACTTGCGAATCCCCTTCAGATCACAAGTGCTCGAGTGCTGCAGAGAGGAACAGGACGCTCTTTAGTAATGTACCAAGTCAGAGAAAGGAGATGTCTGTGGCCCAGAGTTGGGGCAACAACTTACACCTGCATAACTCCTCTCATGTCAGATAATATGTTGGAACACTTTACAAGGCATGAGAGAGGTGGTCACGGAGATGGGTTGGGGAGGGTTTTATAGACAAGGATTGAGGGGTTTGGGGAGCAGAGCTTCAGATAGCAGAGGGCATAGAGGCTGAAAAGTCAGCTAACGATGGTGGGGTAGGGTAGAATGTGGGGGAGGGTGTAGCACAGGCCTGAGAATGTGGAGGTAAAGGCGTTTCACAGAATATACTGTAAAGTGAATTGACTGTGTATTTTGTGGGCGCAACACGGTAGCCAATTGCGCACAACAGCGTCCCCACAAACAATCGTGGATTGAAGTGACCAAATTATTTTTTTTTTTTGAGTTGTTATTACTCCCGGAAAGTGATCCGCCAATCGACTAACAACCAGGTTCCTTTGAAAAATGACGTGCATGCATGAATGATCTCAACGTGCTGTCAGTTGCTCTGAATTCACCGTAATCGAAGGGGCAGAGGCCAAGATGAGATGCTATTGTTTATCAATGTTTCCACTGGCTTTCAACCCACCACAGTTTATAACAAGTCAAAGCTCTGGCAGGTTCTACAATTTATAATAATGATAAACCCACATTTACTATGTTGTCGAGACGTCTTAAATTGCTTCGGCGGAATTCACCGCAAAGCGTAGTGACTGTGTATTGCGTTTCAATTAAGGAAGAGTGGGGAGGGAAGAGGGGAGGGGGAAGAGGACCCACTCGCTCGGAGGTCACCAATCTGACAGCAGTAGTAAAGCCCAAACAAAGAGCCGGGCGGCTGGGATCCAAGGCACTATATCAATGCCTCCATTGTGTTCAGGTGACGTGATCTCCACAGCAAGGAGACAGCGGCTGCAGTCCTTCATCGACTTGCAAAGGTTCCCATGGTCCAGCCTCAGTCTGTGCCAACATAGCCAGATAGTCCCTGAGACAGTTAGTGTCTTTCTCTCTCTATACTCTATTCCCATTCCTCTGTTCTCTCCCCATCATGTCTGTGCTAGCGCTCTCTCTACCACTGGAGCTCTCTACTCTAACCCCATTCCCTGCTCCCTCCCAATATTCTCCCTTATTTTTATTCAATAAAATATTTGAAGTGAAAATCAATTCAGACTTGATTGTTTTTAGTTCAAAAAACAAAACACCTCTGGTATTACCAATAACACTAACCACCACACTCTCTCTCTCTCTGGCCATTAGTAAAGCCAGTCGATGAGGCAGCACATCAATATGTTTCTATTAGTAACGCCAAGAGCAAGGGCAAACCAAGGTGGTGGCAATGAGGCCAGAGAGACGGGTGACAGCCACCAACAACACGTTGTCGGCTTCTGAGAATCAATGGCACCAGTTATTGGAAGTTGTTTCTCTTCACCGACACTTGGACATCAGGAAACGATCCAGCAATGTTAACAGCAATCTGGCCAATGACGGGGACGTTGGGTTGGGAGGGGTTGCAGGAGAGAGATGAGCTATTTATTCAGGTGCTGGACCCTGCTCTGGTGGATGTTATGTTAAAGATCCCCACTGACACGTCTGGGAAAGAGAGAGGAGTGTCTCCCCGTGTGCCCCTGCCTGACCATCCTAATAGCCCGTGGAGTCCCGTAGCTCAGTGGTTAAAGCACTCGTCTCGCAAGCGAGAGGGCTCAAGTTCGATTCCCAGGCAGGTTGAAACCTTAGGCAAGTTTCCTTACTTGCCTAAAAATTGCGATCACTCAATCCACGACTGTTTGTGGTACACTGCTATGTGCAATTGGCTGCCACGTTTTGGCAAACCTGGAGTCAAACACAAGCAATGTCGGCCGGTTGGTGGGACTTACATGAGACAAGACCTTGTTGTCTTCCTCCAGCAGTTTGACCTTGTTTTCCAGTTGTCTGATGTAGGTGGAGGCTGGATCTGTGTAAAGAGAGCAAGGTTATTGTTATAGTCAGGCCAGTAAGGCAGCTCCTCCAAGCAGACCCAGGAATCCACAGGCCTCACTCGCCCACAAAATATAGTCACTACACTTCACAATATGTTCTGCAAAATGCTTTGAGACGTCTCAACAAAGTGATAAGGAGCTGCATCAAGTGCAAGGATTATTTCTTTATTATTTGTAGCCCTTTGTGTGTGTCTCTGCATGTAGTTGTTTTCTATTTGAGATTTAGTGAGAGCATCCCAAAGCCTGACTGGCCTCTCACTGGTTGGCTGTGTCAGCCTCACCTCTGATAGTGTAGCGGGAGGAATTACTGGCTCCCCCTGCCCGACAGCATAATCAGGGGATTACTGCTCTGTTGGCCTCACTGCCTAATAGTGGGATGATGACTGCTCTCTACATCTGCCAGTCTAGTGAGGGAATTACTGAACCGACCCCCCCACCACCCCGGCTGTGGGGATGGGGTGGGGATTACTGTTCTCAGTACCTGGTAATCCTGGTTTGTGTACAGATCGCTGTGCTCCCAATGTGAACAGCTTGGTGTTGTCACCAAGAGTTCAAAGTGTTCTGAGTGGACAAGTTTAGCAACTTCTGTGCTGCTGGAAATCAGACGCATCTACTAACTGACTAGCTCCTGACTAACTCCTGACTCACAAGCTCCGAACTAACTAATTGTATTGATTATTTAAGAGTAATTATTGTAATATTATACCAAGCCCTCTCTCTGTTCAGACTGAAGCGCAGTGGCAAACACATGCTCGTCACTTTCTATGGAAACCCAGGCGACGCGTCATAAGGCGCTTGTTTCTGCGGCTTATTAAAGAATTAAAGCAAATTAAAGGAGCCTCGTTCACCTCAGCCTGGAGCAGCTCTAACAGGGTGACAAAGGAGGACCGGCAATGTGAAACATCTACAGCCTTCCCCCCCCACCCCCAGAAATTACCACCCAGCCAACCTCTCACAAACAATAACAATTGGGCCTATGATGACCTTCTCCTCCCCCTCTCCCTCACTTGGTGTCCAACCCCGCCACTGTGCAGCGCTCCGAGACGCTATCCTGCCTGAAGGGGCTACATCAATGCAAGTTGTTGTTGTTGCTGTTGTCACTGCAATAATCTTTGACATAGTGCCTAATCACTTCGCCGAGACAGCTCAAAGCGCTTCACAGTATTTACTGTCAAGTGGAGTGACTGTGTGTTTTGTGGGGCTAATGCTTATGTAAAACTGGGCCTTGAGTTGAACAAAGAACTATAAAGTTTATAAACTATAAAGACTTTTAACAACCTGGAGACAGTTTCAAAATGGAACTAGACAAGTTCCGGGAGATTAAAAGGATTCAGGGAGTTTGCAAAAATAACTTTAAAGAAATCTTTTAGCCACGTTTTAATAATAATAATAATCTTTGCATTTGATATAGCGCCTTTTCACATCGTCGAGATGTTTCAAAGTGCTTCACAAGATTATTTTAACTGCAAACTGCAGTGACTGCATATTTGGTGAATGGTTCAATGGTCTAATCCTGCCTAAAACTCTTACTGTGGAGCAAACTTCCAGCCAAGTGAGTTTTGACTCAAAAATCAAAGCTGAGTTTGGCTTCTCCACGTCAATAGGCTTTGGTTTGGAACCAACTCAGGAATCAGCGAACAACTGCAGGCAGCCAGAGGTAAATGATGAGTTACAGCCAGATCAGCAAACCCAGCAGCACTGACCCCGTGACTGATTCCCAGGTGTGTAGCTCACATGACGGAGCCCATGTTAATGAGCTCGCGGTTGTACAGAGTCTTTAATGCATCGGAACTGGCTCACGTGGCTGTATACTTGAGGGCCAACTACAAGGTTCTATAGCTCTGTGGTTAGATCCCTTGCCTCGCAAGCGAGAGGAACCGGGTTCGATTCCCGGACGGGGCGAACCCTAATGGCAAGTTTCCTTACTCCACATGCCTCTGTTTACCTAGCAGTAAGTAGGAACCCGGTTGTTAGTCGATTGGCGGATCACTTTCTGGGAGTAATAATCCCTTCAAATAAAATAATATTAATAATTTGGTCACTCAATCCACCACTGTTTGTGGGATGCTGCTGTGTGTAATTAGCTGCAGCGTTTCCCCCACAAAATATACAGTCACTATACTTTACAGTATATCCTAAGTGATAAGATGCTATATCAAATGCAAGGATTATTATTATAAGATCCCACAAACAGCCATGAATGTGGGATTTATCCGGAGGATTGCTGAGTTGAAACTCCCTTCTCTTTTCTCATGTCTATTGGGGGATCTGCAGTGGGTGAACACCTGTCACATGTGCGTGTGATATGGTCTGTGGAAAACAACCTCAGTTTGACTGAGTATTCCTCCATATAAAATATAATAATAATAATCCTTCCATTTGATATAGCGCCTTATCATGTCTTTGAGATATCTCAAAGCACTTCATAGGATACACTGTAAAGTGTAGTGACTGCGTATTTTGTGGGAAATATCCTGTTGTCTGGTGAATCTGTGCCAGTCAATTCATCGGGGTTAGTCAAAGGTACCAGCTCTACTCAGATTAATTGATACCACAGATCAGACAGAATCCAGCCCTTCAAAGCCACATCAAAGCCTTGATAAATGCCCTGATTCCAACAGCTAAGAACTTCCCATGGACTGCTTCCTTCCTGCTTTGCTGACGGGGATCAGAGTGCAAACGGTACAATGACGAGTGGAATATTCCTTTTGTTCCTCCAGCGAGTGATTGACAGGGATAAGGACACCCACTGAGAGGACATCAGCACCTTCCCCGCAAAACTAATGGAGATCGACGCTGCACTAACCACGCACTCAGCCAAATAACGTTGGCAACACTTCCCCTCTCTCCTCCGGGACGTTACCCCGTGTGAGGGGCGTTACCCTGTGTGAGGGGCGTTACCCTGTGTGAGGGGCGTTACCCAGTGTGAGGGGCGTTACCCAGTGTGAGGGGCGTTACCCAGTGTGAGGGGCGTTACCCTGTGTGAGGGGCGTTACCCCGTGTGAGGGGCGTTACCCCGTGTGAGGGGCGTTACCCTGTGTGAGGGGCGTTACCCTGTGTGAGGGGCGTTACCCCGTGTGAGGGGCGTTACCCTGTGTGAGGGGCGTTACCCTGTGTGAGGGGCGTTACCCTGTGTGAGGGACGCTGTGTAAATGCAAGTTGTTGTTCTTGTTGGCTTGAACTGCCACTATCTGCACTTAAAAGGATCAAAAGGATAAACTCCCAAGGACACAGAGATCCTAAGAGAAACTCCCTTCATTTTTTGAATAGCGCTGTGGGATCTTCAACATCCAGCTGAACAAGCACAGACGGGGCCTCGGTTTAACATCTCCTCTGAAAGAAGGCATCTCAAACAATCCCCCCACCCCCCCCCATCCGGGACTGCATCGGAGCATCAGCCTGGCTGTAGACTATGTCAATTCAAAGTCCCAGCATGAACCCACCACCTTCTGACTGGGCGTGCGAGAGCCAGGCTGAGCGTTCCACAAACAGCCACACAGTGAATGACTCACGTTTATTCATGCTGCTCAGTCTCACATCAGGAGAGGCATCTTGGCCAACTGAGCCACAGGGAGATAGAGTGTGAACCGTAAGCAGAATAAATTCTGAACAGCCATGATTTCACAATGGCTTCACACTGCCCCCGTCGCTGCTCTGCAGATGTGTCTCTAGTGTACTGATGAGAGTCAAGCACAATCAGATCTCTGCCATGCCTTTGAATAATTGACGTGGATTTTTATTGAAGCCATTACTCGCTTAGCTTCTGAGGCAAGCTATCCTGCCCGTCGGGGAATTAGCGACAGACCAGAGACAGGAACTTACGCACTGCATCACGTCCCCTCTGCTCCCTGATGGCCTGGCTTTCTTTTGTAAAAATACATTAACAACCTTAAGGCTCACTCACTTTGCAAACAAGATTTAAAAAAAAATGAAAATAAAAGCCGTCAGCGGCCGTGCTTTTAGCCACTGCAGTTTCCCCACCCCTCTGATCCCCTCCACCCCCCCCCGACCCTCTGAACCTCCCTGCCTCAACCCTTCCACCTCGACCCCTCCTCTTTGTCAAGTCTTCACATTACACCTAAAGATCTTCCTGATAGACCAACCATACCTACGGTCACCTCCCCTCTCTCCTCTGCTCAGCGTCAAACTCCATTATCATTAAGCCCCCCAGAGAGACACTACTCTGTGTGAAGGGCTCTGTATAAATGCAAGTTGTTGTTGCTGTACTGAGGTCACCCTTTTAGAATACTAATATTTAGAATTTTGCCCACAAAATATACTGTACATTCAATTCACTTAATATTTACTTAATAAGAGTAATATTCCCTCCCCCAAAAAAATGTGATCACTCAATCCACGACTGTTTGTGGGGCACTGCTGTGCGCAATTGACTTCTGCATTTCGCCCACAAAATACTTGTCTGAATCACTCCACAGGGTTTCCAGCACAGTAACCTGTCTATAAATAATTGACTTGGCTTTTTATTGAAGCAGACACTCACTTAGTACCTCAGACAGGTTCTCCCACACGTAAAGGAATTATCCATATTGAATCTCCCCCCACTCCCCCTGCCCCAGCACCTGCACAGACAGCGACGATACATTTATAATGATAAGACTTAGCGGGTTTTACTGTATTATATATTACATCATATATTATAACTCGGGGGAAGGGTGGTGGGGGAAAAGAGCATGATGGAGCGGTTTGTGGTGGGCTGGGGCGCTCAGGTCGAGAGCCAGTAATTTTAACAAGACCCTGACTGAGGCTGAGTTGAGGATGATTGGAGAATGGGCCATCTCCTCAGTGTAGAAGCCTGGATCGAGGCCCTGGGTGACTGATGGCCAGAGAGTTACACAGCTGCTGTATCTCCACCTGGTCTGACAGGCACAGTGGCCCGGTTGGGATTTCAGCAATGCCCATGTTTATTTGGCTTTTTGATCTTCTTTGCTCTGGGGGTTAGTTAAGATGGTCCCAC